CACGATGAGTTGCATGAGTCCATCGAAATGAATTTACGTCTCGAATTCTCGGAGGATAGAAATTTCCGAATGAGACAAATATTCGCGCAATAAAAGCGTCATTTGGCAACGCGCGATCGAATAAAAGTGGCTCAAATTTAAGCGCTAATCTTTTATTGAATAAATCTTTCATTTATTTATAGGATATTTATCTTGCTTCTATAAATAAACAAGCATTTTTTGTCCTTTTAAAATTACCTTCGTTCAATAAAAATTTAATTAGATCGTTTGTTGCGATGTAAGTGAGGTAAGTTTCTTTTAATGTCTTTTTGATGAATTTAAATGGGAGATCTGCTCATCCACGTCGTTTCACAGCAGCTGGAATTTGTTTTCTTGGGAAGCTTGAATTTTAATGACTCCAGAAAGCGTTAATCGCCTTGACGCGCCCTTTAAAAATAAAATTAATTTGGTGTGGTCGACGATTTGGTTAATAATTAGCTTCTTGTGATCGATAATTTAGCGAAACTTGTACCACGCACTCGTTCTAGCACATGAAATTCGTCGTTAAGTGGTGTACACCCAGCTGTTGTAACGATGTACGTGTACGTACACCTAATGAGATTAGGAACGCATTCGAGGTGGCTAGCTTTCAAGACCCAACTCTCCGACCGACTTGCTCGAGTGGCAGTATTGGTTTTTCGTGTACACCATGAGCCGCGATACGTAACGTGCCATGAACACCCACGGATAGCTCGGATAGCTTGTCGTTTTTATGGATATAGCTTGTATTTCTTCTGTGGGGGTTTACAGGCTGCGTAATGCAGCGTCTATCGAATATGTGCAAACTAGACTCCATCTTAGGAACGCTTGCACGTTCTAATGAAGTTTGACATCTTGGATGGAGTAAGATCAACAAAGCCAATCCTGCGCGAGAAGAGCGATCTACCTTAAAGTCAATTTGTCGTCACTTCAAATAGATGGTGGAACTCAAGAGTTTCAAGGAGTTCTATGAAATGATTAAAAAATACAACGTGGCTGTAGAAAGAAATACATGTGAGGATCACGTTTCTGAAGTACCTTAGGGCATTCAAAATTGCTTTATTTTTCAATCCAGAAACTGATAAATAATACATACACTTTACTAGATTATTTGCAATGTGTTACATTTAAATTCCAATTTACATTCCAATTTAATTTTACAATTTTCTCAATAAAATTTGAAAATTACCTTATGATGATATTATTAAAGAAGATACGTAATATTATGTGGAAAATAATTTCAATTTTAAAACATTCCAGAACTATCTATCTGCTAACCGTCTGTTTGAGGTGACGACAACATTGCGACTTCGGAAAGCTGACAACTGTAATTTGTTTCCGATGTTCGAATGTTCGCGCAAAGAGAAATTGTTCATCCGCGACATTCGTGGAATACATAACATCTGCGATTCCGTGTAACTCGAATGCCTTTAATCTCAAGGGTACGTCAATTGCGCCTTTATAGTAGGTAATATTTGTTGCTGGAATCAATACTCGAGATCTACATAACTTCCCGTGCATTTCTATGAGCTCCTGGAAGTTAAACGTAGATGACGACATATATATGTGAAAATTGCCGTACTTGCGTAACTCACGCAAAGGACGAACTACTATCAAAGAAACTATTTTATCGAGATTCAGAACGTAGTTGACGTTGTTTCATTAAATTACGAAGAGCCATCATCTATTATTCAAATCTAAACGGTATCAACAAATTTAACGCTAAACGACCCATGAGAAGGTCATTATTATTCTGCTTTATTATTTTATTTTATAAAAATTCTATTTGCATTGATATGACTGTGTAACATTTATTAAAACGTGTTCGGGGAATTCCATTAATATGTATTATATTTCTATATAATAGCATTCTATGTTAAATAAACAATGCTCCAGATTAATGTATGCAACGCAATTAATAAAAAATTAAATGTCAGTTACATAATGAAGTAAAGTAAATTTTGTACTGGACTTATATGAAAGTATAATATTTCCCTGATCGATGGCACGCACTCGCCCGAATAGAATTATATAATAATAAATGTATAATTCTGGGGCAACTCGTTTCTGTAAGAGCGACGAAGTTTAAAAAATTACGAGATGCAAAAGGAACGTGCCGCGAAGAAATATAGCATCGTACAATTGAAAATTAAACCGGGCAGTAAAGGCGGAGGCTGTCGTTAAAGCGTCTCTGTGCCCTCTTTTAATCAGGTATTTTACAGCACGATTAATTGCGCAGAATTGGACCTCGTAGATCTTATTGTATGCGCGTATCTGTGTATATCTGTGTGTGTGTGTGTGTGTGTGTGTGTGTGTGTGTGTGTGTTGCACGCGGCTTTATTTACGCCACTGATTACTACGGTAACCCTAGAACGACCGGAAACATACGGGGTTTCATTATACTCTTCAGCGCGAGCGGCCATCGATCGATCTTGCCTCTTAAATTATTTTATACGTTAAATGTAACTTGTTGCACGGAGTGCTCATATGTATGTGTTTGACGTACGGAAAATGCGAAAATTGTAGGTTGCTGTAAAGCGATATCCGATGGCAGAACAGCCAGGGTATTCGAAAGGTCAAATTTTCTTTGCAGCTTACGAACCTTTACGCCTTCCTCGTTGATCGAATTAATGAATTTAAACAATTTTATTCAAAAAAAAGATTAAAAAGAGATTAGCGTTATAATTATTTTTATAATGAATTTTTAGAATTAAGTTAATAGTTTACAAATAGTTAAAAATAGTTTACGTGGCGCATTTGCGAAGCGAATTGCAACATTGTTACCGTTTTAATTGATTTTAGTCGTGCTTATTTCTTTAATGTCCATCGTAGCCGTAAATTGCATCACGAAATTGCTTCACCCCCGCTTTTCAGGCTGATAGTATTCTCAACTCATTTTTTTATATAAAACATAAAAAAGTGCTGATCCCTCCGCTTGAAAATATGTATATTTACGAATTGTGGAAATTAAATTATTTTCTTTCTTAAAAGTACATTTTCTAATATAAATATCACATTAATTTTCTACTAATTTATCGATTCTGCTAAAGATTTTTATATTATAGTTATACGCGAAAGCATCAATTTAAATTATAATTTTACATTCACATGAAATAAATTTAATGCAAAAAAAGTTTGTGAATTATATAATTTCTAATTTTCTTAAAGATTCTAAGATTTTTTTAAAGATTTTAAGATTCTAAGAGATAAGACTTTTAATAAATCTCTTTGTTTAGCGGTTAAAATATCGCAAAATTTTCTAAATGCAGACTGATGTTTTAAAATTGACGAAAAATAAAAGTTACATGAGGAAAAGTCACAAACACGTTTATTTATTCATCGTTTTTTTTACATTTCACAGTTTTTGCCGTGTATGTGTTTCAAGCGAAAACGTAAAATTCAACATGCCGCGTCCATTCGTCGGAAAATTATCAATCCTCGGCGTGATCGATGGAGAATGCTAGATTCTATCTCCTCAATCGAGTTTGACGATACACACATACGAGCCGGTCATATATTATTTTCTTCTATCCTGTCGCTGACACGCACGCAACTGGGATCTTCATCGGCTTCAGTTGCCACTTATGACGGAGCGCTTCCGGGAGTGGTGCTTCCTGAAGTCCGCTATCGTCCGAATAACGAGCATCACCTAATCCGCTTAAATCGCGTTGACTCAACACGTGAACCTATGCGAAAACGATGAAATACTAAATAATTCTCGCTTAATTCTCGACTTATTTAATGTTAATGATATTAACTTCTTCAACATTGACTATTAACTTCCAAACGTCCACAATGAAATTTTTTTTGTCTAACGTAATATAGTTATTTTCATGCTAAATATTGATTTAATTAATAGATATTTATTTCAGAGTAACGATATACTTTAATGTACAAAGATGTAATTCTTATAAATAATCTTCTATTCAAAATATTTTATTACACAATTGATAATTATGACCGATGAATAATTATTTGTAAATTCATTGCTAGTACTGAGATGTAATTTCAGGATTTAATTTCGAAAGGTAATTAATTATACGGAGAACTAACAACTGCTAGTTGTTTTAACAGCTAACAAACTGCATAATTCACTGTATTGTTACTCTATAACAGATTTCAAATGAATAATGATGCATGTAATAAATTAATACTATTAATTAAGATTAGTCACCAGGTGAATTCTTATTACAAATGGATGTAACAAGGACACCAACTGCGGATTAATTAATCTGTGATATTAACGGTTTCAACAGCATTAATCTTCTTTTGCAAATAAAATAATTACAAATACGCGGTGTGTTACCGCGGACGGGTAATTTTTTAACCTCGCTGTTAAATGTTGTTACAGCGTTGTTTAACATTCTCCCCTATCTGAGAGATAAAAATAGACGATAGAAAATAATACGTGCGATATATTTTTATGTTTTTAACTTGCAAATCGTTGCAAACTGTATTCTCTATGTCTTTTGTTTGTATAAAAACCGACAAAATATCTTCTGTTATTCTATATCTTAATACAATATCTTTTATCATATATATATACACATTGCATACATAATACATGTTAGTGAGCCTGTTTTTATGTGGGAATCTTAATCACAGCGTAATCGCGTTATACAACGTAAAATTATTGCGACAAAGGGGATCGCGAGCCGAGCGACGCTGATATTCAGCTTATCAACCGGCGTTCTAGCGAAATTGGAATAGAGAATTCAAACGTATAAACCGATACTCGGCTGACATTGCATAATCAAAGTGTGCCAGGTGAAAAGCACAAAGCATAATTAAACGTGTGTTGCACAACGCTCACGGATCGGCTCGGCGTCGATTCGCTGTCGCGGCGACTTATGTTCGCGCTTATAATACGGCGGAATGGCAATGTTTATGTCCGGCTGGCGATGGAACGTCCGGTGATCAATAAGCTGAGAGCTGAGGTCTACACGGTCGTCGCTAATTAAAGTTGCGTATACTTGCACAATACTCGACAACCACTCGGGCGACAACCCATAGTGGGGCTAGATCCGCCACTTCGCACCACGGATTATCGATTGTCACGCGATCTTACCATGTAATGCAGCAGTCGGCAGGAATTGAACTTGCTCTGGCAGGCCTTCGGCTTGCAGCTCGAGGCGGTCAGGTATCGGGGATAACGTCCCTCGCCCAGATCCCTTATTTCGTATTGCGTCTCGCAGCTGCACGGCACGGACTGCGAACAAACATGTCTCTGATGTGCCAATGCGACTTTGTGTCGCGCGTATATATTAATTAACACCGGAGGAGCTTACACGCGAAGAACGCGAAGGGCGAAGAGTCGAGTTCAAATTGAACTTCGTCGTTGATTTAAATGGAATTTTCTTCCACATTATGCGGGACTGCTAAGCCTCATGTTTTACATGCGTAAACGGTGGGCGCCGTTTTGAAAAAAAAATCAAGATAATACACGGCGATGAAAATATACTATTAAAAAATAATTAATTAAATTACATGAATTACGATGCTACACACAATATTTGTCGCGCGTTGCTAGATAGTTCTTTTAGTAACAAGCTTATTTTCGACTTTTTGACGAGTTGCGGTGTGCAACAAATATATGTGGAATTAGGTTTTCATCGCGGTTGACGTTTGTTTCGTCTGTACGAAATTGCGAACTGATTTACAAAGTTGAAACAAAATAAATGAATAACACGATGAAAAACGAACCAATTCTATCGCGTACTCTTTAGCTCGAATTGCCATATTTAATCACTCGTTACGTTGTTACCGCAAAACGTAAGCGTAATTTTCTATTTAGCGTAAAAAAATCATTACTCGTAATCCTTGTCATCTTTTGTAATCAATCTGAATGACCTTTACCATTAAAATCAGTCGCTACGGCGACGCGTGTGCAGAACCTTCGCGTTTTAACATTAATTTAGAAAATAATTACGAAAATAATTACCGCGCGCGTTTAATAAACTTTACACACGAAAGCGCCGATACGGAAGTACGATACTACGAGGGATGGCTACATTTACCACCTGGGGTAGCTTCTATCGGAACAAAAGGACTTTTAGCACATCATACTTTTATCCACCTCTGAATTATTTAAATAAAGGAAACAGCTCGACTGACAGCCAGGCGGTTGTTATATCAGAGGCGGTCACTCAACACTCTTCCTTCTCTCGCGAAGATGAATTCGTAATCTAAATTTGGCATATCGCGCGATGGCGTCATGTAACGACGTCACTTTTCCCCGAAAAAAGTCCATGAAAGAAACATTCTTAAGAATTATGCAAACATACCCTCGTTACGAGACGCGGCTGCAAACCGATATCCTCAACGCCGGCGATTCGCTTGACCTGCTCGTTAAGTCCCTCAGGATGGAAGCTATGTTTATCCTCGTAGAGGAACGTGTTTCGATTATCTTCGGAAATATCCTCGCGATCGTCCAATAGGAATTCCGGTGCGACTACTTGTTCTTTCCACCGGCCGATCGACAAGACTTCTCCCATGCTCTCCGCCAACAAAATGTAGACAATTACCTGATTTGATCAAGTCGTTCAAACATGTTAATTAAATAATTTGTATGTAAAAATTGGATATATTATCGCGTGCGTGACATGGGTAATATTTCTGTTTTTATATATTAAGTTTTAATGAATACGTGCGGATTACTTTTTTCCGCGAATATTGAATTTTAATAACAGAATTTTTACAACATTAAAATCGATTTTTATTTAATCAGAGAATGTGGCAGAGATATTCGAATTATGATGAAAAATGAAATAATAAAATTCTTAATCGTTTATTTAAACGCAAATATAGATTATATTTGTAAAATTTATTAAGTTTATTATTAATGTAATTTATAGGTGAATATTGAATAAATGATGGATTTTATAGAAATTTTGTCTGAAAGAAGATTTGGTTCAAATTTATTAAAATCTATCGTTTGAAATAATGACTGCCATTTCTGTGATACAAAGAAAGAACTTCCATCAAATTTTTCCATCTGATCTGCTTCTCGCACAGTGTTTTAAATTAATTCGAAGTAATATATTAAATATATTGTTTACACGAACGTAAGTAAAATATAATAAATTGTAGGAGAATAACATCGTCGTATCTGATGATGCTTACACAAAGGATAAGGAGCTTCATCCTTCCCCAGGACACGTCTTGCGCAAGCCGTCACTCCACACTGAGGACTGGTCTCTCTAACATTCGCTCCTTATATAGATATACGAAATTATTTATTAATAGCAAACCCTACATTCCAGTGATAAGTAAGATCCCATTACCTGCTAAGATGCCATTAATGCCATTCGATATCTACTCGAGGGGGATGCGTAGATTTCTTTGTTCGAACTGCATTCGTCTTTTGTCTCTCCCACGTCTATTCACATCCATAAATAAAGGTACTTTTTCCTCTGGAACCTCCGATCCTTACCACGAAGGGTCACGACATATAAAGGCATCCACCAATTCCACTCGAAACATTCGCGCGAACGCTGGCTGTTGGATAACATTGCGGCATGATCGTAAAGTCGACGTCTATAAAACTTCAATTTCACGATACTTGCCCGGTATTTACTACCGTAACGCAAAATGATGTTCCGGTAAATTAACAGATGCACAGTTCGGGAACAATACTGGATGGTTCTCGAAATACTCACCTGCAATTTTCAAGGATCCCCGGCACACGGATAATTTCATTCCGTTCGCAGAATTCAAGAATGCTATTTCGGAAAAATTTTTCTAAATATCAACTTTTTTTATGTGGTATATACGATATGTAACGGTATGTTAAATTGTCACATACGTTATACGTATAAATAAATATTTATTTATCAAGGTTTATTGTTACATCATTTTCATAACATATTGATGTTATATTGATTTCTATAATAATATAAATTGTAGACATATATATATATATATATATATATATAATGATAATAATTCGATATCATTTAATGACTATTTATCGTATAATGCTTACAAAAAATTAACATAAATTATTTTTAAAATAGAATTTATTTTTTATACATATTTTTTATTAATTTTTAATTATGACTTGAAAGAAGTTAATTTTTTGCAACTTTGATTCCTCGTAATCTTTGATTTATAACTTTATAAAATCAACCGATTAAATTATAGTCCATGAATTTCTGAAGAAATTCTGAAAAATTTATGATAATTTATTCCTTTGTAAACTCCTTTGTAAAGAAAAAGTACTATGAAAAAATACATAATGATCAAGAATATAATATTACAACTGTTAAACTTTTTAATGTTACCGCATGTCGCAATCTTATATCTCTTATAATAATTTATTCTCTTTTCCCTTGTCTACCTCAAATCAAAGGAGGTACAAATAGTTATCTTCTTCCTTTCTAAAAAAAGACTTGACATCGATTACTCGTATTTCTCAAACTTTATTGTTATCGTTTTTCCGCGATGCCGATTGGTTCTCTCGCTGCGCTATCTTCGCGAATAGCTGTCATTGTATTGATCTCACAGAGGATTGTTTTGACAATTGTGTATCAAAAAGTTAAAAATATTATAGTGTAACAGTAGTATTTAATTTTAGTATAATAGTATTTAATTTAATATTAATTTTTGCTCTTGTGTTGAAAAAGATAAATAGCGCACGCGCAGCGCGCCTTTGTAATGTCTAATATAATAAAGTACAATTTTAAAACAAATCTTTTTAATTGTTTTTTGTTTGTATCATACATACGCGAGAGATTTATATATATCTAATTTTTTTAAATATTTAAGGTATATACGTATTTAATAATTATTTTAATAATGATTTAAAATATGCAATTTATCTTTTTAATTAAAAAAGTGTGTTATTTCTAAGTATATCCCAATTATATCCTTCTCCTTAATTAATGTAATTTTCCGCTTCAGATAACTCCAGGAAATGCAGGGAATCTTGCAATGGATGACGGAAATCTGCGAATTTATACACCGCGTCAAAGATTTATACACGGCGTCGCGTACTTGATTGTTATTAACGAAACGGATGTCGCGTTGGCAAACGCAAACGAACAATCGGCGAAAAGTTATATCACAACAGATGCATCGGCGGCGGTGCACGGTGATCAGAAAGCTTGTTTTTAACGAGCTCGTCATAAGTTTCGACACGAACGACACGAACGACACGAACGACGGAACATTCGGATTCGCGTCGAATCTCTCCCGGGGAACGTTAGTATGAGTTAATCGAGCGCGCGATACGCGAAATTACCGCCACTACCCCCTCCCCCTCCCTCACCCCTCCTCCCCCCGCGGTGATATACACAGACAAGGGAGATAATGAAAACGCATGGTCCGCTCCTCATTACCGCTCGCGAGATTCCCGCGCGATGAAATTACGCAACGCGTTTCGGAATCATGCAAACCGAATTGCGACGTGCGTCAAATTGCGTAATCGGCGCAGAAATGCCTTCCAGTATTTTCCATTAATACCCCCCCCCCCTTGTTGCGCGCGAGATTACATCGAGAATTACAAAAGAAGGGATTTGACGATGGGCAACATCGTTGCCGCTTCCACTTTACACATTAATATCCACGACAGACAGTTCCAAGCTATTACGAAGTGATTGATCCGAATTGAAAGCAACGTCGAAGATAATAGCATCTTTTGGAGAACGCCGTACTATTTATATATGTGAGCATATTTCACGAGTCACTTTCGACATTTGCCATTTGATTAAAGAGTCAGTTTTAATACATTTTAATGTATCCCCTTGATATTTTAATGTGCCGTCGTATTTCAATTTTTGTTTCATATTTTTCTCGTTCACGTTTGCCATTTTCGTTCGTCATTTTTTTCATGGCGCTTATGGCGCAACAAATATAAACGATAAACGGCGTACAGAATTTTCACGGCCAAGAATTATTTTCTGCACCAGATACGAGAGCAGGATCGATCGCGAGCAGTTGCCTCTTCTCGTCCCTGCACGCAGTTCACGGTTTTTGTATTTATGTGCGTGCACAGGATCGCCTGATTAGCTTAATCGTGCTGTAATGATGAACCATCGCTAGAATGTCACAGCCGAACGATAATTTTTTTCATAATTATTAGACCTGTAATATCATTTTTTTTTCTGAAAAATATGAGTGAAAAATGTTTTTTTTTCTTCCCTTAATACTCTCTTTTTGCTACTCTCTTTTA